TCTATGCCTAAGTTTTTTAAATGCTGTCGTAGAGTCTATACATGTCTGATCCCTCATTCAATGTTTACATCACTGTACACACACTTCAATGCTCCATAAATTTTATTTGCAGAAAGAAAGTATGTGCCCTCTTCTCCTTCATACACATAATGATCATCATTCATCATCACCCTTCTTTATATTTGTACTAATAATCTGCTATGATCCGAACCCGGGGCCCAGATAAAGCTGTCCCGGCTTTTCTTTATCAGAAAATACTAAAGCGAGAGTACTGTATTGGCTTTATTAGTGGGTGTGCCCTTATAAATGTGGTGGTGTTGGTAGGTGAAGAACATTGAATTCTTTACTTGTACACTCTACCGCCTTTCTTGTGTACAATTTTTCCCTTAATTCTTGTGTTATTGTGCAAGAGAGAGAGAAAAAAATGAGCTCTCTTGGTGTTGGTGTGAGTCCTGGTAATGTCCCAGTTTACCATGGCAGCAGATTGAAGGTGATTGACCGGCGAGTGAGGCTAACAGAGTTGATCCTAAGGTGTTTGATATGTGGTCTGACTGTAATTTCTGCTGCTCTTATTGGGACTGATTCTCAGGTCAGGGAGATCTTCACTATAAGGAAGCGGGCCAAGTTCACAGACATGAAAGCCCTTGTGTAAGAACTTCTTTTAAACTGCTTTTGTTATGGTGGTTGTTTGGTCTGCTCTGCTGATCTTTTTTTGCTTTTCATGTGTAATTTCTTGTAGTTTCTTGGTGATAGCTAATGGGTTGGCAGCTGGGTACTCGCTGATCCAGGTTCTGAGGTGTGCTGTGAGTATGGTTAAAGGGTCTGTTCTGTTTAACAAGCCCTTGGCCTGGGCCATTTTCTCTGGTGATCAGGTAAATGTGGCTTTGTGCTGGATTTTGATTCGAACTTTCTTTAAATATTTGTGTTTAATCATTGATATCTTGTTATGATGTTGCTGAATTTGTGTGTTGTGTTTTAGTTTTTTATATGTGTTTTGATGGGGAAAGAAATAGAAATGGAAGGAAGAAAGAAAAGATTTGTTTGTTTAGTTTATGACTTCATGATGCAAAAGTTTAGTTGATTTGCTCTTCAAATTTACTTGTGCTTTTTGTGGTTGGTGTATTTGTCAAAGTTACTAATTTTCTTGAGTAATAGCGGTTTCTTCGAGGATTCGCAGTCTTGTTTCTGTTTATCGATTAGGGGAACGTGATACTGTGGGAATTGGATGAACCCGGCAGTTTTTAGATTTTTTTGGTCTGAACTCGTAGAGAACTCCGATTCAGGAAATCCCGGTTGTCTGAAAGAGCAAACTTGTTTATCAGCTCAAAGACTGCAACTTTTGTTTAATGGGAATACATACAAACAGAATCTAGCAAGGAGAGAAACAATGAACAAATGCATTATTTATGCATGGCAAGGCAAATTTGCCGTCTCATTGGGCTGCCAAGTGAAGCTTGGATTAATAATTATGCCATTTAGTAACATCCTATTATCGAGCATGTCATGCCTCTTAGTAAGGCCCTGTAAACATCATTTGCTCGAAATCCTCACACGAAATGTCAATTGCTCAAAATCCTCACTCCATATAGGATAAATCACAATAATTGCAGTTGTTCATTATAACTTTTTTTCTTATGAAGTAATGTACTTCAATTTCAGTTGTGCATATTTACTTTTTACGGTTCACAGGTAATGGCCTACTTGACTCTATCGGCTGTGGCTGCTGCTGTGCAGTCGGGTATCTTTTCTCAGTTCGGGCAACCTGAGCTACAATGGATGAAGACTTGTAATTTGTATGCAAAATTTTGCAACCAAATCGGAGAAGGTGTAGCCAGCTCATTGCTAGCGGCTCTCTCAATGGTAGTTCTCTCTGCTATATCGGCTTATGGGCTGTTTCGTTTGTATGGGGAAGGTAAAGAGAAGAGCAGCCTGGGATGGTGAAATATTCTCGGTTAATATTATATTAATATATGCTCAATACTCGTGGTGCCTAAAGACTGTTGGAATATTGTGAAGAATTTCTATTGTGCAGTTATTATGCCTCATGTAGTTATGTTACGAAATTGTTTGGATTTGATTTGATGAGAATGCATGCAAAATAATATAGGGGTGAGCAAAAATTTTTGCAAAAATTGGTAAAACATTAGAACACCTATTCGTTACCAAACCGATTGGTTACCGTTACCGATTACAATCGGTTCGTTAACAGTTTCATATTTGTAGTTACCAAAATAATCGGTTCCGTGTCGGTTTGGCATTATCGATTCGGTAACTGAATCGATACCACCCTATATGGATTACACTAGCACATTCGAGATTATTTAATGAATCTAATAATGAGGATAAATTTGTTTTATATTGACCAGGTAAACGAAGTAGACCTCGGTCTACGTACCCTAAATGCGTAAGATATAAGAAGACACGTTCATACAGTAGCTTCTACTTTGATTTGCTAAAAATGATGTCTATTCTAATATTATGTTCATTACTAGTTACTACATATTAATTAAATAACATTATAATATAAGTCGGGCAAATCGTAAAGTATTTTTTTAAAGTATTTAAAATTTAATTTGAAAAACTTCTATATCACATTTTATAAAGTATTTTTTTAAAAGTATTTGAAATTTAATTTGAAAATCATCTATATCACATTTTATTTTAAGAATTTAGTATAATTTTTTTAATTAGCACCCGTATAATCACGTGGGATTTAACCAATGTAATTATATTTGAAACAGTGTGCGTAGACATGTTCAAAGGCCGGGCAGGTTCACGACTCGGCGGGTCGGCGGATCCCAAACGCTGGGCCCAAAACCGGCTTGCTATATCTAAAGGCCGGTGCAAATGAACCAGCGCGACCCGAACGAACCACCGGTTTTAAAAAACAAATAAGGAAAAAAATTGTGACCCGTTTCGACCCGGGACCGGACCGGAACCTGCCCAACCCGACGGATAAAAAAGGACCAAAACACGATCCTGAACCGACCCTTAAGGGGTTCCAGGCCAATTCAAAAAACCAGCTTTACCAAGACGGTTCCGAGCCAGTGCGAGCCGGTTCGACCTTGGCCATGTCTGAGTGTGTTGTATGCCTTCAATTCAACAAGCGGTGTTGTACTAATATAATTTAATCTATAATATTATATTACATTGTCCTTGGTTTACTTTTGAATTGTGAATAATCTTATGCAAGTGGACGCTAATCTTTGTCAATACTAAAACTAGTTTCACGTATAACGTATGTCTAAAAAATAATGTGAATCGATTTTACTTTTGTGCATGCAGATATTCTAAAGGAAAAGCGGTCGGTTCAAATGTATCAAAACACGAAATTGTGGTTCAGCAAATGTCAAAATAAAATAAGCCAATAGTCACAAACTTTTTAGTCAGAGCAATCAATTTAATTTTAGTAAAGCAAACACTATTTAAAATTTAAACATCAAAAGTAGAGAATCAACATGTGATATGGGTAATTCTACCATGAGGTACCCAAATATATGTAATAACGAGAAATACTACGGTCCCGTTACGGAATCATTTCGTTGAGGTTTGTAACAGATCATCATGTAACCGTCGAGAATAATTGATCTAACGGTTACATACCCCGACAGAATGGTTCCGTAACGGGATCGTAGTATCTCCTCTGATAACATAATTAAGAAAAATGACATAATTAAGAAAAAAAATATGAACAGATTTGCAGAAGATATCATTTTGCATTGAAGACTCGTGGGAGATCAATGACATTAACTTGACTAAGGCTTATTGTTGCCCATGAAAAGAGAAAAAAAATGCGAGTTCACCCATCAAATTTGGACAACCAATTCGTCGGAAATCCTTGGTTGGGGTATTCGTCCCGCAACCGCACACCGCCAAAAATATGAAAACTTCACTTGCATTTTATCGAAGATCGGGAGATATTGTTGAGTCCCTTATGAAAATAGCTTTTATACATATAAGTTTCATAAATATTCAACATTCGGATCTCTGGTGACATTCAAAAATAATTTACTGCATAATTAATTGATTTTTTTCAAAAATTTTAACAAAGTTTGAGGTATCAGATGATCAAATTAAACATGCCCTTAAATGGATCACGTCAAGAGATTTAAAATGAAACATGATTATTTTAAAGTTTTCTAACGGTAGACGAACGACGAACGACGTCTAATGGTGGAAGCTACAGTCGGGAGTGGCGATGAGATAACCAGATATTCAATTTTAGTATGTTTTTAATTTAATTACTATATTTTTTAGCTATTTTTATTAGTATAGATGAGCTACAAATTAAATACAATATTAATTTTTAATGAAACAAAATAAATTATAACTTAAATCAAAGGGTATAATAGATATTTCTATTGTAAGATGGGTCCGAGACAATCAATTTACTATTTTGCCCCATACATTACATGTAGGGTTGAGACTAAGTTTTAGTCAAATGGTGAAATGAGATTGAAGGGATATTATCGATTACCAAGTATGTAGGAGACGGAATTGAGAATGCTAATATTCGTTCAGTTTCCCCGTATTTTTAAACTAGGATTATATGAAGTAGAATCACATCAAGCTATAGCATTTGTACTTTGTAAATTACAAATACTAGAAAAAAGGTTGTTGTTTTTTTTTTCAATTCCTTTATGTAAGAGCTTTTTTTTTTTTTTTTTTTTTTTTTTTTTTTTTTTTTTTTTTTTTTTTTTTTTTTTTTTCTTGTTATTTTGTATGTATATAACTAGAAATTAGTACAACGATAAATATACTTATAGTGAAATGGACTTCATTCGGGCTCCTTCTAGCTCGGATGACCTACGTACCTGCAAAAACTCAACGTCGGAAGAGTTCCTGGCGTCGAGCCTCCGATGCCTAAGTCAACACTTGCCAGGAAATGAAGCGCAATAGGAGAATGTAATAGTGAATGTATAGAGAATGTGTTTGTGTGATACCTCAGGCCCCTTTTTATGGGGGAGGTGTACCTTATTGTCCAAGTGTGATTTGCGCAATATCATCATAACATGTGTTCTAGCCCATGCGCAGGTCTATTTCCCAGTATATTCTTTCATATCCATTAAAATCGGTCTAGTATCTGTATGACATTCCATGTCATCTGGTCCCCCCCACTCTGGCCGAGTAAGAATAACTCGGTCGAAGAGTGAAACGCACTTATGGCTATTTCCGTCAACCTACTTTTCCCCTCACGAATCTGGTTGAGATATATACAACGATCTCCTGCCCGAACTTGACTTTTGAAGTTTAAATAAACTCTCAAACTGCCAAGGAGGTCGAAAATCGAATGTCCTACCAATGAGACCGAGAACCGAATGACATGCCAACGAGGTCGAAAATCGAATGACCTCTGAGGTAGAAAACCGAATGACCCGTATTGATGTCGAATACCAAGTAAAGATCATCGACCTATCAATGATGTCAAATAAACCAAACAAAGTGAAAACCATCGACCAACTCGAACTATCGTCCTCCATGTCTTCAACGACCCAACTTTAGGATCGACCACCCAGCCCATAGGCCTTGATCATGGTGGATTTTTTGTTGGCCCAACCCACTGATGTTGTCGAGACCACCCAACCCGAAGACCTTAGTTATGGTAGATTTTTT